GCCTTGACTTGTAGAAGCTGAAAAAGGATGAAACAATGTGTGACACCAAATATGGTTTATCAAGTCCTTTAATTTCATTCTTTAACCATCACCTGTTTTTTTTGTAATTGTCGTTTTTATTTTTATTTCAGTTAACTAAATTATTTTTTCATTGCTAGTTTTAGTTTTAGTGTTAGTTTTCGTTAACTATAATAACCCTGAGAACTGGATTTAACGTAAATAAATAAATACTTCCATCTGCCACCACATCACCTTCTTTTTTCTTTTGGCAGCTCTGAAGGCACAAAAATTCAGCGTCCTGCCCGAGGTGACTGGATATCTCGGGCATGATGTCACCCTGCCATGCCAGTTCATCAAAGGAACAACCAACACTATCACCCAGGTTCAGTGGGATCTGCTGGGACCAGAGGGAAACAACACACGCCTCCTAGTTTTTAACAGCCAGTTTGGGCTGCAGATTTTCGATTCTTCTCTGAAGAAGAAAGTGAAACTCGCAGAACAATCGCTGATAATTGAAGATGTTGAGATGAAGGATGAAGGGTCGTACATGTGCTCCATTTCAACCTTCCCCAGTGGTTCATTTGAAGGAACAACCAAGCTCATTGTACGAGGTGAGTGTGTAAAGTAACGTGAAGACTCCTAAACCAACAGATAATGATAAAGATCATTTTTACAATTAATTGGCTTTGGTGTAATTATATGTTTGATTATTGCTCAGTGGAGAATAACATGAGTCTGATTGTCTTAGTAAATAAGTGGAACCATTACAGATGTCCTGAACCTCGAATATATCAATCATCATAATTCATTTCATCCTTTACTGTACCAAATCAAAGTGTTACTGATCTTACTGTAAATAACCAGGTTTCTTTATAGTCAGGCACCATGATCTTTAAAAATAATTTGACTTGATGGTCCCACACAGGGCTAATCCAGTCATGTCTTCCAGAAAAGATGCTGTTATCATCAGGGGTGGTGTCTGCTGTAGTGATTGCTGTCATACTGCTGGTGGGGATCATGGCAGCCATAACGTACTCCATCTTCATCATAAGGTGTGTGTGTGTGTGTGTGTGTGTAGGAGAGTACAGTAGAAAATACCCATGAGCAATAGTCACTGCAGATGGTGGACTTTGATTATTTTTACACTGATGGATTTGCTGTACATACTGTATATAATAAATAAATAAATATAAAAAGTATTTCACGGATAAACTATTGATGATTTAATCAAAATAATCAGCTGATTCATTGACAATATAAATAATCATTATGTGCAGCCCTAATATCTCAGATTTGAAACAACTCCCATCATGAATCTAATCACAGCACTTTTGATTCCTTTACTCAGGTGTAACTCTTCAGTCAGCCACAATGTCTTCACTGGTGAGAACACAAACATTTCCTCTATTATATCATTTCATATCTTTCTGTTGTTTCCAGTCGCCTTGCATAAAACTGCTCTGTCTCTCAGACACAGGTGGGACAGTGATGGATGTGTCCAGGTCATCTGGTATTGAAAGAGCTGAGGTGAGCTCCTAGTTGGTTTGCAGCTGCATCTCTGAATTTAATAAGTCGATGTCGGATAAAGTTTGTAGAAAAAAAAAGATATATGATAAAAATTAGCATTTTCTCTCCATCTTACTCGTAGGACGTGGTCTACTCTGATGTCAAGTTCAAACCACCCTGCTATGAGACGACCTCGAACAATGACGAACACAGGAAGTCCTTGAATGGTGATGTCACATACGCAAGTGTAATGGTTTTGGGTCGGAGGCCTAAATAAGCTCTCACATGCAGTCGTTTCCAGAATAGTTTTCAGTAGTTTTTCTTCCATAGCAAGCTGTGACAACATTTCTTACAGTTATCATTATCTGTGCAAACCTTACATAAGACCTGTAGTGTTTCACCACTGCTTAATCTCAGCTCAACTCAACGACAGCCATTGTCACTGCACTGGGATGCTACGATTTTCACCATTGTAGCATGCAAACATTTGATAACTGGCACCAGACAAACTACAGCTGATTAGACTATAACTCCAACTAGAACGACACATCACTTCACTAGATTTCCAAAAAATCACTGGGGTAGTTTATGCAAAATCCCTCTGAATAACAAACTCTTCCCTCCTTGGTGAAGGTAATAACACTTTGTCCTGATGAGGTAGCTCAATGAAAAATCCGTTATAGAGGTTATTACAATACATCCTCCTTGAATGTGTGTAGTAGATTTAATCACCTGTAGCTGCTGCTGAATTTCAATGAAGAACTAAAATTGACATCATAGTGACACAAGAGGAAAGAAATCAAGGTTCATAAAAGTAATTAGTCTTGTTTCATTGGATCATACGTGTCTGCACCAAACGTTACACCAATCCATCTCTTGTCAAGATATTTCAGTCGGACTCAAAGAGGTGAATTAACCAACACCACCATTTCTTCAGTCAGGCCACTCACATGGCCACAAATAGACCAACGAGAGTTTGACACATTAGTTGAGTGGATCAGATTCGTACATCGCAGTGAGGAATAGTACGAGCAGACACAGACTGTTTTCTGCAAATCTCCAACATGTCGTGAACATCACACCAGAGTAGATCTCACCACACAGAGTTCCTGTTCCTCCCTCAGTCACCATTCAAGGGTAAAGATAGATAGACAAGGAGGGGGGAAGTTAAACTAACGGAGAAATAACTTAGTAACACAAAAACCACCGAACCATGTCAGTGTTTGCAAGAGCCAGGTGTTTTGTAACAAGGTCACTCTTTAACTAACATTCAACTTTAGACCAACATCGAAAAAATGCATTTCACGATACCATACTGTTTTTATTCCAATAACAAAGATGCAGTTTCTTTAATTTCACTAGCCTGTCTGTCATGTCTGCTTTAAATCATTTGTGCAGAAACTGCTTCACAATAGTGTCATAATATTTTCTGTTACTGTTTTCCATTGCTCTTTTCAACATTGACACTGAACATCACTATGTCTCATCTGATGGTTTTGACATTTCCTAAAAGCCTCATTTTGTGGGTGTGAGATAATGTCTGCTTTAAGCTCAGTGTAATGAGACCAATCTGTTCTTTGTCAACATTAAGTTTTTAGTTTAAAGCTTAAGAAATGTCATTTCAGATCATAGAATACTGTTGTGCTTTTTAAAAGAGAGACACAGCTAATGGCGGGGACATTTTATAATTGTATTTATGGTAAAAAGTGTTTCACAAAGACTGAATTGTTTGTCACCTGTTTCCTCTCTGCTGCACGTGTCCTCCTCTGTTAGACCCGGGACTGCAGAAGCAGTGCTGGAGGGTACCATCGGATTATGAACAGGGGTTCCAGGCGGAAGGCACCAAGTATAGAGGGGGGTTGAGTTAGTCATTGGATAAATGCTGTTTTAATTGTTTTTAAGATCTAATATGGACCCACAGGTGTATGTTTGTTATCCAGCAGCGATATGTTAAGTGTAATCTCTCTTTTTGAAAATTGATTTTCCTTAAAGGTCCAGTGTGTAACATTTTGGTGAAAGGGAACTATTGGCAGAAATTGAATGAAGAATAATATACCTTCCGGCACGAGCAGGACGCCTATCCAGTAGCTCCATACGTGTTGGGTCATTTTTAGCTTTTACAGTATGTTTTTTTTATATAGTTTTTGTATCGACGATTAGCACGGGTTAACTTGACACAGTTCTATATTTATTTTCTATGCACATTTTCTGCACATTTTTTAACTTTAATATTTTAACTCCTGCACATTT